CTTGTCTTACATCAGATCGAGACAATGTGGTCCCTAAATCCATATCCTGTTTCTGATTCTCTACAGGTAACATAATAGTTTTTAAAAACACATGCTGACAGTTCTAGCTTTCAGAAACATTACTAAATCTAAACGAGATAAAATATTGACAAATAATGTAAAATGCCTTGGAACAGAGCAGTTGTCACCAGGAAACGAGATTAACAGAAGTGAACGATGAAAATGAATTGTAAGACATGTAAGTAGTTGGTTGAATGAGTGTTTCTTTTTCCCACTCAACTTCACAATTGTCCTTAAGGGCATTTATATTCATATTCTGGTGGCAAATGATAAAAATCAACCCAAACTAGCTCAAGTTTTAAAAGGGGAATAATCCTACTGGTTAGTTAATTAAATTAGTAATTAATTTAAGGGTCTTCTGGCTAGGTCCAGGGCTCCATGGAGTCAACAAGACTCATTCTCTCTATCTTCCATCTCCTGACTGTGCTTTCCTCTGAGCTGGCTTCACCCTCAAGCAAGCTCTGTCTGTGGAATAAACTCAGGAATAAAGTCAAGGCTTAGAACAGTGGAGCAACCCCAGAGTAAACAAAGCTTTTCACTCTCAGTAGTTCCAGCAGAGGCCCCTATTGAGCTTTCATTGGCCCAAAGTGATCATATGCTCATCCCTGAACCAATCACTGCAGCCAAAGAGATTTGATACAGATTGGCCAGGCCTGAGCCTTATGTCCCACCTACCCTACCTGCAGCTAAAGGCCCTACACAGACTATATGGGCTGAAAATGGAGAAGAGGGAGTTACCCCAAGGAAAATTAGGATTCAGTTACCAGAAGAAAATAAATGCTCTGCAGGAAGACTTTAAGAAATGCCCTAGATAATATCACCTCCATTTAAAGTTAATTAAACTGAGTCCCAGTGAAGTTAACTGAGCTGTCTGGGGCTGCATATCTAGAAAATAACGGGTCTAAGATTCAAATTCAGGTCTGTATGGCTCCCAAGCCTACTCTCCCTCTACTCCACCCAGTGGCCCTCCTGTCAGTGTCTTATCCCCCTTTTACATTAGCGTGAACTGAGGTTGAATGACTTGCCCAAAGCCCATGGCTCCCGGGTGGCCAGTGAAACCTAACACATGTCTGGTATTTAGACTCTGGTTCTTCATGCACAACCATGTCACATTAAAAAATGGTCATCGGTCCCAGGAACTGTATGCTTCACATTATAAAAGTGTTCTCCATCCTCAGATCTTGGCTCTGTGATGTTTTAGTCAATGTTTCCTCATGAAAACCTTCCCTGACCACCCAACTACACCAAATCCCCAAGCTCTTACAGTACCATCGATCTCTTTTTAATACTTATCGCCATTAATGTCACATTTCTGAGCTAATATAATTAATGTCTACCTTTCTGCTAGGCATGAGGGCAGGGACCACATCTGGTGTTGTATATCTTTATATTCCCAGCACCCACTTACTACCTAAGTATTTGGTGAATGAACAAATAATTGAATGAATGAATGAATCTGCCATACAGAAATAAGTCTTTTCTAAAATATATGTATGTGAACTTTGAACAAGGGCTAGTGACCAGGGTTCAGTAAAAATGACAGCTGGATCATTCTCAAAGAAAGATAGTAAAGGCAAGAACAGGGGGTTTAGACAAAATGTATTTCATCAGTTGTATGTCCAAGTACTATAATCTCCCATGGGTGCTGGGAGGAAGAAGAGGGAGAGTCAGGAATAAGAAAAGACCAACCCTCCTATCTGGACTCTAGTTGCTAAATATAATTGAAGCTCGGGGCAAACTTAAAATTTCAAGATAGTTCCTACATGTTAAAACAGTGATTCTCAAGCTTTCATGTGCATCAGAAATATCTGAGACACTTATGAAAAATAGAGATTCCCGGACCCCAGATTCTGTTTCAATTGTTCTGACTTACAGAATCTGCACATTTATAACCTACCCCCACCAGATACACACACTCTAGGAATGTGGCCTGTCCATTATGTACAAAACATTATTGCAAACCTTTTCCTAGTTTAAGTAATTGTTTGGCAATAAGCTAAGGGGTTCCTCACATATCTGAAGTTTAGCCACCTTTAAAGCAAAAGCAGAAAGATTGTACCCTCAGGAGTATAGGACTCCATGAAAAGGTGCGTTCCAACTGCAAAATGCCAAACTTGTGAAAATTGTAGTCCTTTATGCCCATCTCTCCAGAGTGCATTTTCAGATTCTGCTGGGGCTTTGAGGCCACTAGATCTTTATGTTTTCTCTTGTTCTGGTCCAGGCTCTCAAGCTGGGCTGGTTGACTCTCTGACTTCCAACATGTGTTCTAGGCTCTTCTATGCTATTATTGCAAAGATGCTCACTATTTCATTAATTTTCTTCAAAATACAGTGTAAGTATAATTCTACTGTGACATAAGAAGATGCATTTCATTGGGAATAGCTTTCACTTAGTGATGCCTTGTGGATGCTTTAAAAAAATTAAAAAGCTGCCAAACTTTTGCTATTCCTTCACCCTCAAGCACTCTGAAAAAACTGAGGTTCCCCACAAACTTGAAATAAGTAGAGATATTCAAAGAGAAACATTTCTTCTCCCTTCCTTGATTTCCTAAAGTAAGTTGCCAAATCCCAAATTAAAGTGGTCCTAATAAACCAGCTATTTTAGCCCAAATGTTGTCAGGAACAACTTCAGCAGTATTACCAGAAGGGGGCAGCAGTGTACAGCATTCCAAGAAGCAAGCAACTGAAACAAGAAAAAATCACACTGAAATAAGAAAAAATCAAAAAGCCCAGAGCCTTTACTAATAGTAAATGCATGATCTTGAAATAACACTCTTCTGTTGTGATTTTTTCTGTTCTCAAGTGAGTGTCTGCAACTCTATATTTGTTTGGCAAATCCTCACATTAGCAAACTGTATCATCTGGTGTTGCCAGAGACAGGTAAAAATCCTGCCCGCTGTTCCAGCAATATCTGTAATTACGGTCACATCACGGGGGATCAGCTACCTATAGGACCAGTAATGGGTTGGAAAATCCTGGTGCTGTGCTTGGAGTAATACTATATGTAAGTTAATGAGAAGAAGAAGGAGAAGGAGAAGGAGAAGGAGAAGGAGAAGGAGAAGAAGGAGGAGGAGGAGGAGGAGGAGGAGGAGAAGGAGAAGGAGAAGGAGAAGGAGAAGGAGAAGGAGAAGGAGAAGGAGAAGGAGAAGGAGAAGGAGAAGGAGAAGGAGAAGACCTCTTTATTAGATCATACATACTCAACTTCCTAGGAAAAATCAGGCTCAGTTAGTATGGGGAATAAAACCAAGATATATGGCTCTCTAAGCCAACTCTATATTAGAATGTCAGTGCCAAATGCCAGGAAACTGTTTACATCAATGCATGTAAACATTTGAGCATTTTCTCTGTGAGGGTCACGCACACTGTATAAAGCCCTCCACTGCTCAGAGAATCCCCCAGCACCAATAAGACACAGGCAGAATACAGGTGAGGGCTCAGACATAGATAGGTGACAGCTTATCAGAGCTGGGGTGGGGCGCAGGCCTGGGTGACCACCAAACTTGCACTCTTAAATTTTTAAAATATCGCTTTAAGAGAAGAGGGTGCTATTGGGTGTTCTGCTTATCACGAGAATAATACATATCCACTCATGAAAATACTCAGTGACCTGGCTGTATGTTTCCCTGGAAGCCCACCAAGGCCTTGCAATATAAGGAACAGGTTCTGCAAACTCCATGCTTTAGTATAAAGACACAAAGTCGTGCAGAAAGGTTTCATCAGAAACCTACAGAGGGCAGCAGCAGATAAAGCAGCCGGGAAACACGCTCCCTTTATCTCCCACTGGGATCCTCGGCCTCCTAGGCGGGAGGTGCTGCAGGGCTTGAGAGCGCCCATTTTTCTTGCCTTCAAAAAAAGAGACAAACTTCACCATGGAGAAGGAGACTGAGAATGTCCCCAGCAGCGATCAAAGTTCACTTAGAACATGTCTCCTTTAATAAAGGGAACTAAGAGATGAGGGAGGTGGCACTTTTCCGCCAAGGCATTTGACATTGGGATGGTTAATATGCCACAAACCTATAGCCTGAAGCCTGAAGGATGCTCACTCTCCCGCGGGCTCCTGGCAGACGGCCAGAGCAGTATCCATGCCGGGGCTGGATGCACCGTGGCGACAGGTCCTGAAGGCCGCCTGCAGCCACAGGCCCACCCGGCACTGGCATCCCGCCCATGTGGGTAGCGTGGGCTACATCCGGGACAGCGTCCGAGTCGTGGGAGAGGGTGGCTGCCCCATGACTGGCTCCCAGCAATGGCACGCTCATTGCTTCTGACAGCATGTCACTCCTGCGTCTGTCCGAGATGAGCAGAAGACTTTTCAGAGGAACTGAATGCTCTCCTTCAATGGAATGGGGGAGGGGGGGGGGGTAAATGGGAGGTTTGATGCTGAGAATTGGCCTGGAAAGATGAAATACTAAAAAACATATTAAAAAGTTGGGGCATAAATAAATGAAAGTGTAATCCCTAACTTCTGACCAAAAGGCCTGTGTTATGATGTGAGCTTGGCAGTCTCGGCTAGGGCCACAGTCAATTGCCACTATTTAACCTGCAAAAATGGCAATTTCGTGTGGCTTATCCCAATTCAAATAACAGCAGTGACGGTAGCAGTTGTTAAGCAGTTACTGAGCATCAGTAACCGAGTCTACGTGCATTCCACGTGAACCCGTTCAATCCTCAAACTGAGTGAGGAGGTAGGTTCTCAGATTACATCCGGTCTACAGATGAGGTCACAAGGAACCAGAGAGGCTGAGTAACTTGTTCCATGCCACACAGCCAAAGGTGACAACACTTATTCTGAACCCCGCTCCTGCACATAGGGCCTCAGAGGAAAGGACATGATAAAGGCTGAGGTGCCTCCTGGGGCGGTGGGGGAAGGATGTGCTAAAGGCTGAGGTGTCTCCTGGGGCGGTGGGCTCCCAGGACCCGCCTCACCGTCTGCCTCTCCTCCAGGTCAGTCAGTACACCTTCGCCATGTGCAGTTACCGGGAGAAGAAAGCGGAGCCTCAGGAGCTGCTGCAGCTGGACGGCTACACTGTGGATTACACCGACCCCCAGCCAGGTACCAGCCCCCACCGGCCCTGAACCCACAAAGCCCCCCCCCTTCCCAAATCAATGCCCCACTAGTATTTGTCGGGCATTTACTTAATGAAGCCGTGTTCCCAGGGCTCGGAGGCAGGTGACCCGGACAGCCACGCAGTCCCTGGCCTGTGGAATTTCCATCTGGGTTGGGTAAATGCCATCCCAATCAGGAACGTTGGTTTTATTCAATGGATCCTTGTAAAATCAAAACGAAAACTATAGATACACTGTCCCCAAAAATGTCCACACACACTTTGAATAATTATAAAGGCAGTGTTTATTAAAATAACATTTCATTTTCAAAAGTGAGCTATCGGCTGTTAAAATGTATACACATTTTTTGGGGACACCCTGCATAGATTTTTTACATAGTTGTGCCCACATCAAGTATATACTCTACCCTAGAATGCTAAAAAAGAAATTCCTGAGAAAGAAATCCTATAGGAACACCAAGGACTGTGTATGTGTGTGTGTGCGTGCGTGTGTGTGTGTGTGATGTGTTCCACCAGTGATTGTGTATTGTGGTTGTATAGTGTGTCCCCATGGCCAAGCCTGCCCTGTACACCCAGATCTGCTAACTACACTTCCAGGCTGGCTGATGGCACATGAAGAGAAAGCGCTCCCTAAATGTCTTTTTTCCCAAGAAGACACCAATCCACAAGCATAGCCATCCGAGCTCCTAAGCCTGTGTAACGCAGAGAACCACGCGAATAGTAGTATTTCTCCTAAGTTCTACTTCCTGCCCCCTCACACCTCTCCCCGCCACCACCCATTTTATCTTCTTCCCAGAAAAAAAAAAATGAATAGAAATCAGCCTCAGAGAACCTTCAAAATGGGTGGGGGTGTGAAATCATTTCAGCATATTAATGAACAACAAGCACCAACAGCCCTCTCCCGGAGAAGTTTATTTTTATGCCAAATCTGCACAGGGAAGCATTTCCAACCATACTGCATTATTTGGCCCAAAACCTTTTTTTCTACTCCCATATTGCTCTCCCACATGCAACAAAATACACATAAAAGAAAAACAGAGTTTGAGAGAAGATGGGGTGTGAACCTGGGAGGGTGTGGCTAGGCAGCCCGTGGGCCCAGTCCACTCAGAGAAATTCGCACCCGAGGGACTTAGCCCAGCCTCATGCCCAGGAGGTGGTTAGCATCCCCCAGAGCCGACCACAGAAAGCCGGAGTTAAAGGCTCTGCCCAGAAATCCTTCATCACAGATAGAACCTCCTGGAGTTTGAAACAATGTCACGCGACATCTCATTGAAAGGATGCGGCTCCTGCCTTAGAAAGCCAACCCTCGGGTGTTCTGTCATGGTTTGCGATCTTCTCAAACCACTGAGTTCCCTTCAGAGAAATGGGTTCCACCTTTGCTGAGACCCGCAGGGAGGCCAACAAGAGGGGGAAATGGCCACATCTTCCCACAGTGACTCGTTTAAAGCCAGTTCACCACTGTTCCCTCCACATGATTGCACTTGGTCCTCACCCCAACCCCACCCCTGATGGAGACAGGACCAGGGTTGCCGTCCTGTTTTGTAAAGGGAGAGACTGGGCTGGGATGGGGCCAGCCCACACCCCCTTGGGCACTTGGAGTAGCTGTAGCTGTCATGTTCTCCCGGAAGCACATCCTCTCCCCACAGGAGGGGGGGGGGGGCGGGGGAGGGGGGCGGGGAGGCAGCTCTTCACCCACCAGCCAAGGAATGTGCGCGTCTATTAGAAAGCTTCTCTTCCTCTTATCATGTTGCCCCCGTGGGACATAATTTATAAGTCCCTTTACCAGTGATGTAAAGGGGAAGTAATGTGATTGTGTTCTTGAGATTAATAAGCAGCAGCTTCTTTGCCTTGTGTGTGCCATGTCCTATTTATTTTCAAAGTAACATTTGATTGAAAATGAGATTTAAATACTCCTAATTGTCATAAGAAAAGTCTAACTGGGAATTTCTCAAAGAGCGCTTATTAGAAATACAAGTTCCTGGGCCCCAAACCTAAGCTCTGACCCAGAAGAGGGGAGGGCAGAATCCTCATATTTCAACAAGCCTTGTGGGGCGTTTTATGCACAGTCAGGTTTGCCAGCTGGAGGTGGAAGGAAGGTACAAGTTAGCCAGTGCCCACGGAGGTGTGAGGAACCTCCCTAGCTGCCCCCTGAAAGGTGCGTGTGCGAATGGAGAGGATTCTGAGCCCATCTGCCCCCCACCCCAACCCCCTTCTTGGCATTATCCAGGCTGTCAGTGGGCCCAGCTGTGGAGTGTTGGTGGGGCAGGTAGCCTTGTAGCTGTGATATCCTCACCTTTGTATCATCCTGGGACCCAGTGGTCACCCAGACACAAGCTTTCGCACTAAGTCAACTTTACGTTGCTTAGGGTTCTTGACATATTAACTCGGGGAATTGGTAAATAACTATGTAAGTTTTAAGTACAGGCTACTCGTTTCAAGCTAAAGACAAAAACACTGCACTTTACCTTTCCCCTGGTGTGGTTCGGAGAACATGCAACAATGTCTCAATTCCTATTAGAGTAAGCGGTGAAGTTTTCAAATAAAAGGATATTCATTCAAAATCCTTCAAACCACTAAGTTAATTCTTTCACAGCTTTCCCATTGTAAATGGCCCATCCCTGTGAGCTATTGGCCAGTCTCTCCCCCGGGAGCCGGCCAGCGTCCTGCGCCTGGTCAGCCTCCGTCCATTCCCGGAGTGTCCCACTGCTCCTGATGCCTGTGCGGTGCGCCACGGAGAGCCCGGGCACTGCCACACGCCCATTTCACAGATCCCGTCCCCAGGAACTGCTCCTTGTCTAACACTGTGCCCGAGGCACGCGTCCATGCTCACTGCGCTCTCCCTGGTTTCCTTTCATCCCGCTGCTCGCTCCCTCCTTGCTCCCCTTGGCATGGCCTGGTCTCCGTGTTTTCTGGAAAAGCTCTGTTGCGCTCCACTGCGGTCATGTCATCACTGCTGCTGCTTTAGATGCTTCTCTTCACCCTGATGCCTCCAGGATGAGGCTTCCAGTGCTGCTGATGGCCCATCGCAGACAGCTGTCACTGTGCCCGGCCGTGTGGTTCGGCCGTGCTGCCCAGTGGTTACAGTCATCAGTCTGTGTGCCTGGCCATGTGGTCTGGCCGTGCACCCCAGTGGTCACAGTTCTCAGTTCTGTGTGTGCAACCATTTGGCCTGGCCATGCATCCCAGTGGTCACAGTCCTCACCTCTGTGTGCCCGGCCATGTGGTTCAGCTGTGCACCCAGTGGTCACAGTCCTCGGCTCTGAAGTTAGATAGCTGGGACCGGAAGCTCACCTCTGATGCTCACAGCCCCGCTTTGAGTTCATGGGCTAGTTCCTGCCTTCTCTGTGACTCCATTTCCTCCTTCACAAAATGGGAATAAAGGTACTTATCTCAGGGAGCTGTTGGGAGGATTAAATACAAATCTGAAAACTTCTTAGCATCATTCTCTCTCTACCTGTGCACTTTGAGGCAACTTGTGAACTAACTTTCTGACCTTAGCTGCAGCCCTTGTTGGGGGGAGGGGGGAGGGAGGCAGGGAAAGTTCCTACCAGTGGTGTCTACCCCCCATTCACTGACAGATCAAAACAGCTCATCCCAAGGGAGCCTGAACTACAGCAGGTCTGATGGCCACTCTCCTTTGAGCTTCTTCATTCTCGCTTCTCAGGGCTTCAATCATCCCTCAAAGATCTTCCTTTTTCTCTTGCCCCCTCCAGAATTTTCCTCCTTATCATGTCATCCATCCACTTCATCAGTTTTCCCAGCTTGCTCACTGTACATTAGCTTACCCAACTTGCACATTCTAAAAATCCCTCCTTAAAAAACTAGGAAAATACCCCCCATAATTCTAACCACCCGAGATCTTTCATTAAAAATGCTGCACCATCAGACCCTCCATATAAAGGAGTAGCCCCTGTTGTTCTAGAATCCCTGGAAACTCTACGTGCAAAGCTGTGAACATACACCCACTCGTGGGGAATGGACACGTGGGTTAATATTATCAACATGATGTCCAAGTCCACGCGTCACCTATTTCAATGCCAAACAAATGTCAAGCAGATTAGTGGCTGGGCCTTGCTGGAAATTTGGGGCTGCTAATTACACCAATCATTCTCTCTGTTTTAACTGATAATTGGTGGGATGATAAGGAACCTGATGAAGACAGGAAGCTTTGTATCTGGCCACTGAGTTCCCAGTAACCCCAAAACACCGGCTTTTGGAATATGTTGACAGACACGATGTAACTGTGGCCTGAGTTCAGAGAGGCTTCCACCTCCCTTACTCTAAATGGTAATCTTGAGAACTGCCCCTGGGAAATGATGGGCTTATAGAGCATTCATTCACTCAAGAAGTATTTGTTGAGGACCTACTATGTGCCATGTACTATTCTAGGTACAAGGGACACATCAGTGAACAAAACAGACAAAACCTCCTAGTCCTTATGAAATAAAGTAAGTTATTTAGCTTGTAAGATAGTGATAAGAACTATGGAGAAAAAGAAGCAAGGTAAGAGATGAGTAATGAGGGGAGAGATCAGTGAAAGCTTGAACAAGAATTTGACATTTGAGCAAAGACATGAAGGAAGTGAGTGTGTGAATCACACAGACGTCTAGAGGAAGAGTAATCTAGGCACAGGAAACAGCAAGTGCAAAGGTCCTGAGGTGAGAACATACCTGGAGTGTTCAAGGAATTGCAAGAGGCCAGCGTGGCCACCATGAAGTGAGTTCATATATGTGCATGAGAGAGAAAGAGAGAGGAGAGTAGAAGTAGTGGAGGGTCAACTCATGTGGGCCTTGCAGGCGTTGCCAGAACCCGGACTTTTCCTGCATGAAATGTGGAATCACTGGCAGGTTTTGAGCAGAGGAGTGACGTGACCAGACTCTTGTGCTCAACCAATTACCCTAAACTCTAGAGAGTGATGATGGGGGCAGACAGAGCAGATAGGAGGCTATAAAATAATCCCAATAAGAGGTGAGCATGGCTCCATTCGGGATAGCAGCACCAGGGGTGAAAGAAGGGGCCAAGTTCTGGTATAATGTCCTAAAGAATGAATGGCCATGAGAAGTCCCCTGGAAGTGAGTAGTGAGAGAAAGTGAGCAGTACGGAGTGGGCTGTGGGCTTAAGCAACTAGAGGGATGCTCTCAGCTTTACTGAGATGGGGAGACATTCGGGAGAAAGACCAGGAGTCAGTATTGTACATCATAAGCATGGAGATGTCAAGAAAACCATTAGGTATTCAGGCCTGCAGTTCAAAGGGAGACGTCCAGGATGGAGGTAGAAACACAGGGACCATGAGCATGTTCCTGGTATTTGAGAGTGGGTGGCATCACAGGAAGACAGGGTGTAGATAAAGAAGAGGTCCAAAAACAAAACCCCAGGATGCTCCAACATTTAAGAGGCAGGAGAAGAGGAGGAATCCCAAAGGAGACTGACAGCATCAGCCAGGGAGGGAGGAAGAAATCAGGTGGCCCGGAGCCAAGTGAAGAAAGCATTTCCAAGAGAACGGAGTGAGAGTCACATCTGGCTGATAAGTAGATGGATGGAATACAGTGAGGACTTTGAATTGACCATGGGATTCAGCAAGTCAGGGGCGGGGGGAAGGGGGACCTTGTCAGTTTCAGTGGGGCAATAGCCTGCTTGGAGGGGCTGTGGGCAGAATAGAAGCGTGGTCCTTGCACCAACACCATCTGCATGGTCTGGAACTTGTTAGAAATGCAGACTCTCTGAATTGGAAGCTGCATTTTAACAAGATGCCCAGGAGACTCACACCTGCACGAAAAGTTGAGCAACCCTGGTAGCTATTCCCTGCCGCAGTAAGGAGAAGGGAGAGGTATGGGTCAAGAGATATTTTTGTTGTTGTTTATTTGTTTGAAGGATGAGAAAAATAATAGTATATGTATAGGCAGACGTTCACCCAGCCAGTAGGCAGCCTGCTTGATCATTCTGGCCCCAGACAAAGGTAGAGACAAAAGCCACGCTCAAAGCTGCCTCTTTACCATCATGGCCCCCCCTCTGGCCAAGTGGGTGGCAGCCTTCCTTCCCACTAGAGTCAGACCAATTGCTCTTGCCCTCTCTGGCCCAAGGAAAAGCAGCAGAATCCACCTTTCTCGGGGCTCAGTCCGGCCAAGAACATTGAGCTCAGCTTAGTCGTTTTTTTGCTTTTATTTCAGGTTTGGAAGGTGGCCGAGCCTTCTTCAATGCAGTCAAAGAAGGAGACACCGTGATATTTGCAAGTGATGACGAGCAAGATCGCATCCTGTGGGTCCAAGCCATGTACCGGGCCACTGGGCAGTCACACAAGCCTGTGCCCCCGACCCAAGTGCAGAAACTCAACGCCAAGGGAGGGAACGTGCCCCAGCTGGATGCCCCCATATCCCAATTCTGTAAGTAGATCTGCCATTTGCTCAACATAGTTCTGTAGAGGCAATCTCCAAAGCTGAATTAGAAGAACCTAGTTGCTTTAATATGAAAGATTCATAAAAATCATGTTTGCTGGGGGGAAAAACCACACAGTGAGTCCAGGGGGGAAAGTTGGGGCAAAAATGTTAGATGAAAGTAATTTTAAAGTGCAATACTTGACACTTTAAGGACTAAACAAAGGGAAGTATATTTTAGGTGGATTTGTATCTCTTTGTGAGAGTTTGGAATTCGCAACCAAACATGTATTTGCTTGAGTCCTTCAAAAATAGTAGATTATGCATGTCCTTGCCTCATTTCTTCCTATGAAAATAGGGTTTGATTTGAAAAATAATGTAAATCTGCAACCTAGAACCATTTAAAAAGAAATGATGACATTACCACATGCAGTGGAAACAAACAAAGAAAAACCAGGGCCCCTAAAATCCCATTCTGAGCTAAGACACCAGCACCCAAAACGTGAAACCATCTCCTTAAATAGCCCTGGTTCTCTTCCAGTTTCTTCTCCTCTTACCTCTTGCGTTTTAATTTCTTTCCTCTTTGCCATGTCTTCTTGCTACTTGGAGAGTTGTTTTCTCTCCTGCGCCTTCTGATGCTCAGGGTCAGGGGAAATTTGGCTTAAAACAGAGAAGATGGCAACATTGGAAACACAAAGCACCCAATCAAATAATTCATTTTTGTTACAAACATTGACCCTAAATAGTGGCTTTTGCCTTTCCCTGATTATCAAGTCAATTAGAGAAAGCTCAGGGACAAGTCATGTTTAGCTATAGTCATGGCGATGCCTTACTTTAGCATTAACCCACCCATTCAGTCTGGTTCACTGTGCACCTACCTAGGTGATGAGACACACTAATGAGAAAGACAGACGAGGTCCCTGCTCTCAGGGTACCTGCTTCCCAGTGGAGGAGTCTACATAGCCAGCAAGTCAGCAAAGAAATCAGATACTTTCAGACACTGAAAAATACCATGAAGAATGTCATGCCCAGTGGCTGAGTGAGGAGAGGGGATATTAGACAGCCCTCTGAGTATGAATCCAAATGATGGAGAGTCGGTCCCACAAACATCTGCAGCAAAAGAAGTGCAGCAGAAGGGGAAGCAAGTGTGAAGGCCCACAGCACAAACCCGGCTGTTAGCACGGTGCTCTGACATAGTCCCTCTCCTTAAGTTGCTCTTAAACGAAATGTGGATATGGATGGAATAATTTTGCAGCTACAGCAACTAAATAGAGATCAATGCTCTTGCCAATGAATTCCACTGCCATGTCCATTTCTGTCTAATGAGAATTTCCTCCTAAACCTTGTAACACCGTTGCTGATGGGGAAAAACTCTTTTTGGATGACAAATACTATCAATCAGGTGCTCCCAGGAATTTCTGTCTAATACTGATGATTCTTAAAGGAAGATGCATGCCCTGTGGAACATTGTAAGTAATCACACAGCCACTGTGGATTTCCATGCAAAAATCCCAAAACAATGAGGAAAAAATTGAGGAGGGACTGGGGAGAAGGGACAGCCCTTCTGGCTATAACCACCCCAACGTCCCCACTTTCTTCTTGTGGCATTCAGGTTTCATAGCTATAATGAGAGCAGGCATCATCTCTTGTTAACTGTTTAGTTGTTAGTTGAGATAAACCATATCCAATATTTATTTAATTAAAAAAACAACAACACCTACGTGATGGAATTCCTCCTTTCACCTTGCCCAACAGGCTCCTTTTAAAAATATATTTTTTTAAATATGTTTTTGTTGATTTTTAGAGAGAGAGGAAGGGAGAGGGATAAAGAGATTGAAACATCAACGATTTGAGAGAAATATCATCAATATGCTGCCTCCTGCACGTCCCTCACTGGGTATCGAGCCTGGAACCTGGGCATGTGCCCCAACCAGGAATCTCACCATGAACTCTTGGTTGATGGGTTGGTCGATGCTCAACCACTGAGCCACACAATCCAGGCTCCTTTTTAATACATTTGGAAATAACACACCCTCTGAAAGGGAGTTATCTTGTGTATCAGCAGAAAAGTTTCCTAATTATAACCTCCATCCCCCATCCCATTCAATCTCATAAAACATGTATCTCAGGTGATATTTGGAAAATTCAAGTGTTATTTCCAAATAATCTCCATTTTTTCCTGAAGTCATTTCACCTTACATCCAGTGTATCTGTTCTCTCATCTGCCCTGATTAAGACATTGTTACTTGGTTTGTGTTTAGCCCACTATTTCCTCACTAGAGTAGGAAAGAGGAAGGACGTTCAGGAGCAATACTGATAAAACAAGAGACGGCTGGTGGGAGCTGTGGATGGATGTCTCCTCATGGAAACATTCAGGGGCTCTTGACTTAGCTTTCCCTTTGTGGGCAGGACTCTTTTGGCTTGAAGTTGAAGTGCTAGTCATCGGCATCAGCAGGAAGACTCGATTGGGTACACAGGAGCTTGATGTATGTCACTCCCCTGTTCACGTAGGAACTTTTATTAGAGAGCATGGAAGGTAGGCTTCGAGATGAGTGAGGTCAGATAACTCATGCCTCTGGGATTTCTCAGGACCCAGCTGGTAAAGCCACCTTCTTCTTTTCTATTGCCTCCTCAATCGCTGCCCAAGAATGGGGGTTCTCCAAAGAGTGTGAGGCCCAACCACACCCACCAGGTTCTGTAAGAACAAGGCCACCACTCCCAGCCATGCACAGGTGCTGCGGGAGGCATTTTTCACACAGACAAAAATGTGAATGGCCCCTATTGATCTGTGCAGCGCCCAATCTACACAGCAGTACACCACCACCCTGTAATAAGTGACAGTACACCACCACCCTGTAAAGAGTGACAATCCTTACCAGAGCTTAGCCAACAGTGTTGAACCCAGGAACCCCATAGTTCCTTTACTACCCCTGAAACAGAGCCTCAATACTACTCCAGATTCAATCTATTTGCCGTTTCAGGCACTTCACTACTCCAGGGTACCAGCCAGTGAGGCGTCTGCTCCCATGACTTAGAAGCCCACAGAGGTACCAGGTCAGGATTCAACCGACCCAACTCCATACCTGGTCACCTGCAGTTACGAGTATATGAAACCCATGAGAAAGATCAAAAAAGGAACCAGGGATTTTACGTTCTGTGGTGCCATGACTGGTTATACATATACCCCCAAAATGGCTAGGGGTCATAATTTTATTAGACTTACATCACAATTACTTCACAGCTGCATTTTATATGTTAAACTATTACTATCAAAGCGATCAGTCAAACCTAAGGGCAACCGACTCATCCAGATTTGCCCACGACTTCCCTGGTTTTAGCACTGAATCCTGTGTCCCCAGGCCTGTGTCCTCAGTCCGGGGCAAGCTGGTGCAGACTGGTCACCTGGTCCTACAAAGCCAGCTTAGAGGGAACTGAACAACAATCCCAGCACAGGGACAGGTGGGAAATGTGATCCTCCACTTACCTTCTCAGTCTCGACACCCGTTTGCTTTGTGTCTCATCGCATACTTTAAGTCAATCACAGATTCTCTAACAAAGAGAGTCAAACACTCAAGTATTGCATTTTAAAAAGGTTTCCTTGACTTCCGAAAGGTAAGGGTCATTGTTAAATACTTTATTCTGTACACACCTCATCAAATCCTGTCTCTGAATATATGCCCAAAGTATTCACCATTCCTACAATATATAATTCTTAAGAATGACTTTCAATGAGTAAACTTTGCAATTACTTTATTAGTATTTACATGGCAAAGGGAAGCTACAGATAAATGGGAGAGGACTTTTGGGGTAGAAAAAAATAAACACTCCAGTCCTGTCACGTCTGTTCAAGGGAAACTCGAGAATGGAACATTTTACAGATTGGGAAACTTGGGAGTAATTGTGAGTTTATTTGGGTCTTTCTAAATTCAGTTTAACGAACTTCTGGGTGCAGTTTTTAGTTTTTGCCATTTCAAAAGCTCAATTTCAGAATGAAAAGACACGTCTAAGAAAGAGTGGAGTGGAGTATTTATATTCAACTGTAAATACCAGAAAAAAATAGATCCTGCTATTCATTAGTTTGTATGACTCTACAATGATTTTGGGAGGGTTCCACCAAACCTTAACTTTTTTGTTCTTTTGTGGTTTTTTGGTGTGTGTTGTTGTTGATTTAATTCCCCCCCCCTTTTCGGTTAAAACTTGAGAAAAATTAAGACAGTGCCTAATTAGGCAACTTTTTAAAACAACTGATTGCAATTTTCCAATTTTAAGGCCAATAGTGCTTACCTTGGAAACTATGTCCAAATCCGTATTTGAGTGTTGCCACAATTTATTATGTCAGTGGCCTCTTAGGGAGTCACCTGATCCCTGTGTTAGAGGAATGGAGAAAATCAGACCTCAGAGTGGGAGGGATGGTATTTTAAGCTTTGTATTTGGTCAATTGATTGATATATCACTTGCAATGAGTCTCATTTTAATGTCTGTTTCTCAATTAATAACTGTTTATCACATCACAGATGCCCAAAGTTCAGTGTTTTTGAGAATTGTTCTATTTTTGCTTCCACCTGAACAGTCTTCCACAGTTAAAGGGGTCTTGGTTACTGTTGGTTTGGGGGGGAGGGGTTAATTTTGGTTTTTGTTTTGTTTTGTTTCATTTAAGTTTTCTTGTTCAATCTTTGCTCAAACCCGAGAACTTTAGCTGCTAGGTTAGAACTCCTGTCTGCTTTCCTGAGCCTTGTTGCTAGTCTTTATGTTATTCTGGTTTGTTCCTTCTTACCCTGCTAACTTCTAGCTGGACTGAAGGGTAAGTGTTCCCCTATAGCTAGCACAGCTCAGATAATCAGACTAGATTATCTGACACCTGCAATGTGCTTCCTCCCTCTCCCTTATATCTTTCTCCTGTCTAGACTTTGTAGTAAAATTTTTCATGTTATTTTCCTGACCTCAGGTTTGAAATGTAAGCTTCATACTGAAACTAGGATGCATGTGACGTGTGCATAATTGCCTCCTCT